AGACACCAGAGCCATTCAACATACATCTGTAGTTAGGAGTACTCTCCTGTCTAGACAAGACAATTCAAAACCATCCACCATCCCCTGACAGGAAAACCTAGAGTAAATCATGCTACTCATAATTTCTACCCTAAAAAGTTTCCTATAACTCAGACTCCAGCTCCAGTTATTGTTCCAAATTATGCAGAATATTAGGGCCTCATAAATACAAGGCATTACACTGTGATTGCTATAGTATTAAATATGTACTTCTATAAATGTGTTTCTATAGTTGTAACAGAAAAACCACATTTAAAACTTTTTAAGTAACTGACTTTCCATTTGTAATGTAGCTCCATCATAGCAATTTGGGAAAGGACTAAATATAAAATACTTAGGGTTTCCATTTTTAAAATGGAGGCACACAAACTAATCAAATACTTTTTAAAACCAAATTCACACAGATAGTATATATAAGTACATAGCATATTCACATATTCTTTTAAAAAAGAAAAGTAGAATTTGCCCATAATCAAAACTTTATTGAAAAACTGACACCAAAATAGGAGATCACTGTTGTATACCTTACAAAATTAAACTTAATTACATTATCTTGATAGATTAACTAGAATTACTGAACTGGTAAGGCTTTCTGCGATTTAACACAAATTCAGGAAGTTGTGTAGATCATTAATGTTGCTTTCTTCTAAATGAACACCCTGCAGAGAAATCACAAGAACATATTAAATACAAATTCTATTCTATCTTTGATATAGTTATAATGGCAAAAATTACTCTTTAGGTTAAAAAAAAGTTTTATGAATATTAATATTCATAAATAAGCTATTGTCTTATGTCAGAAACTGGCATAATGTTTCTTATATATTTGAATTTACTCTGCTATGACTCTTCTCACCCACTTAAATGCTATAATGAAGAATATTTAAGGAGCCTGAATTACAACTGATAAAACTTTAATAATGAAATAGTTTTAGAAAATCTTGCAAATAAACTTTTAAAAGAAATACTGCACAAAATATTTCATGCTGGCTTCCTATTCAGATCTGCCCACGGAATATCAAAGAGAACTTGGATTTGTTGCCAATTCATTTATAACTCTTCCAGTAAGAACAACATGGAGTTCACAGTTCCTCAAAAGATCAGAAGCAAATTTCAAATCTGTGAGTACCACTATGGAAAACTATGTACATATTTTTCTTCATGCACAAAAGTAAAAGAGAAATTAAAAGTGTATGTCTCAAATATGAAACAATATGTATGAGAAACTGAAGTCCCAGGGTATTTGAAACGAATCTGTGTTCTCTTGTTTGTAGTATTCTTTTGCGCCACTCTAATTTGTTTAATATTTCAAGTCGAGCAAACTGAGTGACTAAATATAATAAAGTGTTTCAAATTAATAAACTTTTTTCTTAAGTTTACAGTAAGTTAATCTAATTGAACTTCCAGCACACTGGGCTGGAAGAGCACACTTGAAAGAAAAAATAATTTTGGTAGTCATGAATATAACATTTCATTTAAACTGGTTTTTAGTAGTAGAAATAGAGGGAATTATAATCATAAAATTTAATTATTAGGTTACAGAATGCTAAAGATATACCTTCTGTGAGCCTGGCCTTACCACCTGTCGGCTGGCACAACACAGTTGAACAACCTACACAAAGAACCACTGTCTGAGCATGGCTGAAAACCGTGGTAATCTTGTAGCAACCTGAAAAAAAGGACAATGTTAAAAGTGAAGGGCAGAAGATAACTGTTGATTAAACATATTTATAGTTACATAAAAGATTAAGAACTTAAATGCTGTGAATTGCAAGCCACACAGATAACTTAAACTTTAGACACATACTAAAGAAGTTTAAAAAACAAGAGATGAAATTAATATATTTTCTTGAACTCAGTATGTCCAAAATATTATTTCAACATGTAATAAATAGGGTGGGTTTTTTCTCCCTCATAGTAAATCTTCAAAATCTAGTGTATATTTTACAGTTAAAGGATATTTCCATATTGACTGGTCATATTTTAAGTGCAGAGTGTCAACATATGGTTAATGGCCACAAGACTGGATAGCATAGTTTTGTGCTGAAGAAAATACTCTTTTTTGCATCATGAAAAATAAAATTCATCATCTGAACAGCTTAAAGATTTAGTAAGTCAAATGTCATATCTCCGTTGGCCTTCCACCTTCTCCCATACTTCCCAGATGTTGGTACAAACGATTTGAATATGTGTATTATGAAAATGTCCCTTACAACATTACCAATTCTGTAATCCCACATCTATTCAACAGCATCCCAAAGTATCTAAAATACAGGAACAATCCTTCTAGAAATTTTATAGAAATGAAAATTTGAAATTTTACCTGGGCATTTTACATCCATAAAATAAGAATTTGGGCTCTGAACAAGCCGTTTCTTTTTATGTTTTTTCTTTTCCTCTTCCAAGGATGGATGAAGCAAATCTCTAGCCAACTGAATTTAAAAAAGCATGTTATTACGACTAAAATGAAACCACGTTGCAAGTAGATTTAACCACACGCGAAATATATATGTAAAAATAGGAATAAGTCATAATCAGTTGAGGCAGTACAAAGTTAGTCAACTTTCATCAACAGTTTCAATGAGCTTTTGAGTTCTCCTGAAAACGAGGTTTTATGACCAGGAAGCATATGGTAAGATGACCGCATTCTTTACTCAACTGAGTAAGTCTCCAATAAAAACAAAACAAAATCGCTGCTAAGAATGTGATCTCATCCTGGACCCGCGGAGAGCAGAAATCGCTGATGTAGAAAGAGAATGGCAACCTTGGTGATTTCTGCCCCCCATGGTGCGGCGTACGCACTGACTGGACCGGTGTGGCTGAAAGGAGAGTAAATGCTTGATGGAGTTACCGTTTTAAGTAAAACTGTCCACACGGTTTGTGGAAAAGGAAACAAGCAGGAAGTCGCTTCTTTGAGAAGGCAGAGGGGGCAAGAACTACGAAACACTCGCAGAGCAGCAAGGTTGCCGAGACCGCGTCCTGTCTGCCCGCACCCACCAAAACCCCAAGAAGACTAAGTTAGGGCGGGAGCATTTTCCCTCCTAGCCAACAACTCCAGATCGCAGCCCAGGGCCCTCCCAGCAACACGCCCAAGCAGGGCCCGACAATCCGCACCGCCGGAGCAGTCCCAAGCCCGCCGCGAGCCAAGAAACTGCGCGACCCCAACTACCGAGCGCCGTTCCTCAGGGAGCCGCTGGACCCCCAAGCCACTGGAGTAAATCCGCTCCCTGGGCCGCTCAACAGAGAAGCCCAAAACAAACCCAAAGCCCGAAAGTAAACAACTCACAGGCATGTTGATCCTGTAGCGAGGACAACGTGTTCTCAACTCTAGGGCGACACCACAGTAAACTGCACAAGATGAGGCGTGCGGCATCAACTTCCGGGATAGAGGCGGCTGGGAGGAGCAGAGAGCCCCCCTCCCCCCAACCGGCCAGGCCTGTACGCTCTAGCCGCTCCTCTCGGTGGTTGGAGGCTCCGGTCTGGTGCTACGGGCCGTGGGTTCTGGGGTCAGGGGGCTTGTGACAGTGTCGCCAATCTGATATCCTGTACAACGGAATCCGACGGGCTCGTGGGCGGGTGCTGCCAGCCCTAGGTTCACGCACTGGACGCGGTGCCCGGGCCAGCCTCCAGCGATGTACACCGGCCTGGGAAGCACCGTGGGACGGACTTCATGAGCTGAGACAGAGCGCTTTGGCGGGGCTGCTCATCCCACGTTAGAGCAGCTGGGCCCCTCCTCTCTCGGTTCGTTCTGTGGGCAGGCACGGGGCTGATGCCACTATTATCTGTTCTTTTGTGTACTACAATCTATTATTAATTAAATAGTGTGTGCCAGCGAGGTTCATGAAACAGACTCATCTAACTTGTGTGTCTAATTTACAAGGTGACAAAGTTCTTTGCGGGATGCTGCCTTGCCCCGAAAAGGTTTTTTTTTTTTTTTTTTTTTCGAAAAGGTTTTTAAGAGCCGTTTGGCTGCAAGGCTTAGTTCTTATGAGGCTCCTTGTTGGGCTTCAGCGCACATGTGCTACAGTGCAAATAAAATTAAGCACTAGTCCACTGACTTTAAACTAGCAAAACTGTTCTGGATTCTCTTATAGGCCCAATGCAATCATGACTCTTTTAAAAGAAAGTGTAAGACAAAAGAGTCAGACAAAATATGATGAAAGAAGAATCTGAGATATGCTGTGTGACTGAAGATGGAAGGAAGATGACATGAACCAAGGAATGTGGCAGCCTCTACTATCTGGAAACGGCAAGGAAAAGCACTCTCCCCTAGTCGCGAAAACATAATCCAAACTACACCTCGGTTTCAGCCTAGATGAGACCCAGGTCACATTTTGAAATACACAACTGCAAGACTGTAAGTTTGCCTTATTTTAAGCTACTATTTGGTAATAGAACCAAATACACTAATGAATACCCCTATACTTATTGCCCAACTGCACTCAGTATTCCCTTCTCCCTCTTTTACAGTTGTAAAGTAAGCATTCTTTTAGGTACATCTTTGTGCACGTCTTTGATCTTTTCCCGTAGGATAAATTCCTAGAGAATTTGCTGAATCAAAAGTTATCATTTATTTTAAGGTTTGTAATATAAACTGCCAATTACCCACCAATAATCAAGTCATACCAATTTACATTCCACATGTAAATATGTTTGAGAATACCCCTCTTTATTTTGCTTTTTTTTTTTTTTGCACCCTTGACATACTGGATATGTGTTTGCCTATCTCAGTCAATCTAGAAGAACTACAGGTACAGGAGACTTTCATAATTCCTTATATTGTGAAACAGTAAATGAAACTTGGCTACATCTTCTTGCTATGCTTCCGGGAAAGTTAATAACAGTTGTTCGCAAATATCTGTAAGTGTCGTTTTTACGCCCTCATTTGAGGGACAGTGTTGTGCTGTAAGCTGTCCTGTGTGCCAATTGAAGATATTTTACAACACATGCTCACTGACACAAAGTTATCTGACATTTACCATCAGGTACAAAAGTCCCTGTAATTAAAAAAAGAAAAAGTGGAAGACTACTGTCAGAGTTGTTTTAAACATTAAAAATGTTTAACTTTTGGAAAAACTCACTGTAGTTTCAGCAAGGCACAAAGCAGGTTTTCTGTGATCCCAGCTGACAGGTAAAGGAGAGTCCTGGAGCCCATGGTGGCTTTTTTCCAGGCTTTTAGTGACACTTCTACACCATTTGTAGTGAGGCAGCCAGGTGAGGGCAGCAGGGAAGCAGAGTCTGCAGACCTAGTCTCCAGTGAATCTTGGCTCTTCTGCGCTCTCCGATATTCTCTGGTCTCTGCTGCTCTCTGCCCCATGGTCCTCTGGTCCTCCACTCCCACTACACCCCGCACTCCTTCTCTGCTGTGTGTCTCAGCCCTTCTACACCCAGCCTCCAGGCTCAGGTGCGCCCACTTACGCCCCACCATCAGGCCTGCATGGAAGACGGCAGGAGGCGATAATGAATGCTAATGGCGTAGGGCAGACAAAATCTGATTACTTCCATTTACCCTACACTTACTATGCTGTCTTTCTTGTCTTTATGCCCCTCACAGACTTGTTTAAAACTTCACCATGTGCTAGAGTTTGAGCATCACTCTCTGAAAGTCGACCAGACATTAAAGCAGATTCATTTTTCATAGACTTTTCAACCTCTTCTTCCTACCCAGGATCTGAACTCTTTGCATATAATGTCCATAGTTGTCATTTATATCTCTCTCCATTTTCTTATTACAGTAAAATTCATTAGCCATTTTTCTAGAAGATGTGAATATATTCCCCAACTTGTTACTTCTGATTTTTTCTATTAATTTAATTTTTGGTGATTTTTCAATCACACAAATTTTTAAGATACATACATGTGTATATATATGCACACACAAATTTCAAACCTATCCTTTTATTTTTTTTTAAAGATTTATTTATTTGTGCATACAGAACTGGGGTACAGGCCAGAAGCTCAGGGGTGGTGAGAGGTTTCACCAGAGACAGAGTGGGGAGCAGAACAGGCAGATCCACGAAGTACACTGCTGAGGGGAGCAGCAGGGTGACACAGGAGAAGTCTGCCAATGCTTGTGGGTCAGCTCCCTGGCCAACGCTGTGACTAGCTTTGCTTTAACCCCTTGTGCCACCAGGGAGGGCCCTCAGAACAATTTCTAATGATCTGTCCTAGTTATTGCTTCAGTTCCTTAACCAATGCCCAGTATAGCATCAAAACCTCCAACTTCTGAGATGCTTTGATAGTATGAGAAATAAAACTGTGAAAGTCAAGAAGACCTGGACTCTTTATAATTCTGGCTTCTCCAAAGTTCAGTTTCACTTCAAAAGTCCCTGGATCCTTGCATTGATGGTAGATAAAAGGACACACAGGCAGATCAGGGACCAGTGTCCCTTTGCCTTGGCAACCTGTTTCCAAGTATCCTGAAGAAGGAGCACTGTCTGGTTTCCCAAAGAACAGTGAAGTGCCATTAAGAGTTTTATTGACTGCCTGAGAATTCGCTAGCTATTCTCTATGGCCAGGTCTGTAGGGTAAATGAACTGGGAAGGCTTTTATGCCTCTAACCTCTGTGGCGATCACCTGTGGCCTTGAATGCAGGAGGTGCTTGGGAACATGGGCTTAGTGTCCATATGCCTGATGGTAGACACCTGGTATAGGCATGTGTAAGTGAGCACACCCGAGCCTGGAGGCTGAGTGTATAAGGGCAGCATCATAGAGGGATAGTGTGTGGCAGAGAGAGGTGGAGAGACCATGAGGGAATGTCAGAGAGAGCCCCAAAAGAAAATCGTTTAGCTTTACTGGGGCCTAAGAGGACTGCCAGCCTCTAGGAACTCTGGCCTCCCTGCATTGCCACCCTGTGGGCCTGCCCAGCAACAGTTGGTGTAGAAAGAGCATTAAAGCCTGAAAAAAAGCCTTCGAGGGCTCCAGAACTTTCCTTTACCCATCTTCCCAAATCAGTAGATAACCTGTTCTGTGCTTGCTGGCACTACAAGGGGTTGCTGAAATCTCTCTCAATGTAATGGTTTCTTTTCCCTTATGATGTGCCAGTCTCCACTCCCTTTTCCCTTTATCAACTAAAGACAGTTGTTCTAGCAGGTGCTAAGTTTCAAATTGGATAAAACAAGTTCTAAGTAAGTCAGATCTCTACCTTCCCCTGGATTGAATTTCCCTAGACTTGTATCCTTCATTTCTCAGAAAGACGTTCAGAAGTTTCATTTTCTTTTGTTTTGTTTTTAAAAGTTTGAGTGTCAGTTGGGCCTCTAAAGGTAACATTTCACCTCCTTGCCTTGCTAAGTATTTTTCTGAAAAGCTCAGAGAAAAATCAGCAACCTCTAAGTAGGCTGAATTCTTTTTCTCTTTCTTGTACGCTCCATTGGCCATTTTGAAGCATGTGGGGCTTATTCTCAATATGTTTCTGATATCAGCAACTTCTGAGAGTCCACCTCTTCTTCACAGGTCAGTTCTCCATCAGGATCACAGCCATTGTTCTAAAAGCTCACTTTAGGGTTGCAAATCATCTGTCATTCATGAGGCTACTTGACACTCTCAGGTAAGCTCCCACCCTGAAGAGTAAGAGTCTTAGATTCAAAGTCTTTTGTCTTTTTATTTTCCATACCTACTTAATTTCTGGCTGTGGCCAAGCTCCCATTGGGCAGCTACTATAGACTGTGTTTTTATGTCCTCTCCCCTCACCCATTTCATTTCTTGAACCCTTACTCACATGTGAGGGTATTTATGGAGGCAGGGCCTGTGGGAGGTGATTAAGCCATTGGAATGGAGCCCTCCTACATGGAATTATCATCTTTATAAAAGAAACCCCACAGAGCTCCCTCACTCCTTGTGTCATGTGAGAACAAAGCTTCATCCAGGAAGCGGGAGGTGGGCCCTCACCAGACATCAAATCTACCAATGCCTTGATCTTGATCTACCAAAGTACAGTCTCCAGAATCATGAGACATAGTCCGCCAAACAATAGTGACCCAAATAAGTGCAATCAAAGACAGCTGACCTGGCAAAATATTGTAACTCACTTTTAGAGGATTCTGCTAGGTTTTCTGCATGTATCCCCCACCCTGTCTGTACTCTACCCTCCACTCTGCCCTGTATCCAGGAAGCATACTTTGATGGGCTATATCAGTTGTGTTCTTTTAGCCTCTGGATTCATGTTGGGTTGGGCCCCCTTTGCGGCATCTGTGACCCGTTAAGACCCTGACATGGAAATTCCCTGCCGTGGCCTATCCTCCCTTTTTAACATGGTAGGCTGGGGCCCATCTGCCTCTCAGTCACCAGTCCCACAGGGTCCCCATCGGACTGTCCATTGTCCCTTCACGTTTAACAGGTTGTGACTTGAGTAGAATATGAGAATCTGGAGGGAAGCAGTCTAGAGTCCTAGCCATGCAGATTTTTTGCCACTCTATGAACAAGCAGCACTGGGACCACCTAGAGACTTTTCAGAAATGTAGACTTTCTCCCTCCGCTCTAGATCTACTGAACCAAAATCTGCATCTTAACAAACGCTCCTGTGGTTCATGTGCACATCCCAGCATGAGAAGCACTGGCCTAGATATGCTGTGCTGGTATTCTCTCTGGAGTCTTCCTACCTGCCCTGTGGAGCTGTCAGGGAGCCAGAACCCAGATTTTAATACTCCAGGGTAAC